TATAGCACTGACATCTCACAGAGATGATTACATCTACTCACGGGTTTTCTCCTGGTGCTCAGGTTCGCCCGTCAATGTCAATCACATTAGATTACATCAATAATCATAATAAAATTCGGTCAAATTGGAGTTCAATTTTTCTGTGTCTCTGTATAAAGATAAACTGCATCAATACAATGTTATGACATTGGTATAAAAGTGTAAGTACTGCTATCTGTTGAAGTTATGGTATAAACACCTCTGAAACCGATCAATGAAATGATCAATGTAATAAAAGATGTTCCAAATTGTTTTTAAGGTGCTGGTTAACAACAGGAGCTGGTTCTGTAGGGAACAGGAATGTAGCGAGACCAAAAACTCACGATAAAAAAGTTCACAATATATTTATCACTGTTGTCGTTTAATAAAACATATCTGAGCTGTCTCATAGATAGATAGATAGATAGATAGATAGATAGATAGATGTGTTTTCAGAAACATATTTCAGTGAACTTTTTTGTAATATGAAAAAAAGTTTCCAAACGAGCCACAGTGTTGATTTAGTAATCTGGGAGCAGGCAGCCCACAGGCTTAAATTCAATATTAAATTAATACATTTGTCCAGAGTTATAAAATCTTGACTAAGGGCCTGTCCCATTTCTACCCCTTAAATCTTCCACTTGGTCTTGAGTGCCCTCGTCTGCGAGATAACCCTTGATGAGATCTTTCCCTAAGAAATGGGACACCACTTCATGCAAATCAGCGTGGCCGACGTGGCCGACGTGCAGGCATACGTCACGCGTAGCAGCAACGCATGATACTGGTAGTCATGCAGGTTTGAAAATGCCGGCTTCAAAATATAGAAAATCCATGGATCAAATTAACTCTGAAAACTTGGAAAGCAGTAATACAAATTAGAAGAGGATATAACAACCCTTAAGTGGTGTGCATAATGATACACGTTTTGCCCCAAATAAATTAGATACTCGATTCAAGGATTGGACATATAAAGGAATAACGGCTCTATGTAAGATAATGAAGGAAGGTACACTGCATAGTTTTGAAAGGATTAAAGAGAAATATTTACTAGGAGCACAGGATTTCTATTGTTACTGACAGATGAGACATTTTGTCAGTGACAAGATAAAATGTGTATCAGAATCAAGCAAACAGCTGTTAGACCTGTTTAAAAGGGCATATGGTTCAAATAAAGATAGGGATATCATCTCAGGTCTTTATGAAGGACTTATAAACATGAAAACACACTCAACTATATATATTAAAACAAAATGGGAAATGGAGGGAGGAATAGATATAACGGAGAAAGAATGGATAACAATATAGGCATATCAATGGAAATGTAGCAGCTCACAGAGTTGGACGGAATTTGGCTGGAAAAGCCTGATAAGATATTTTATTACACCTTGCCAGGGCAGGACTGGGACAAAAATTCAGGCCGGGAGTCATACATCCACCCAGGCCACCCAATCCACACATTACATGCTCACCCACATGTGCACGTGCACACGGACACACATATGGGCTAAGTAATCACCAAAGCTCATTATTCCAGACTGACAGTCACACAGCAACTCTATTAAACACAACTGTAACAGCAACCCTACTCATAGTCCTCCAGTCCAGTGCTTTTCTCTTCCCTACCCTCACCAAATGTGCCCCTCAATAGCAGCAGCTACTTCAACTTATCTGATCTTATTTCAGTAACATTAGATAGATATTGAAAACTTTTGAACTTAGACAGGTAAGAGCCTATCCTTAAGAGGGGTCCCCAAACTGTTTCAGCCTGCGCTGCTCTGTACAAAATGGAACCAAATGGACCCTTACGGGTTAATTTGGCTCTTATAGCTTATCATCAGTCATTTATCTGGCCTCGGGTCGGTCCCCATCCTCCCCGGACCTAATGCTGAGAATAACCAGTTTTCTTACTTACTTTTCTATGTTAACTTAGGCTACTTGTTGCAGCATCATCATTTGATGACGTCACGCTGCTGCTGGGGGCTGGGGGGGCTCTGAACATATCTGTAGGTTTATGACATTTGGCCGCCTCCTCCTCAATGGCCTTTTTTTTTTTTTTTTTTTTTTTTTATCTCTCTCTGTTCAGCTCCACCTTTCCTCTTTTTGTGGTCCATTGTAATGGCACTGCTGAGCTGCAGAGCTCCTACTGCACAGTCTGCACACACAGGCACACGTACACACCCTCTGCTCTCTGCTCCACCTGACTCTCCACAACCAAGCTGCTTTCAGTTTACAGGCGCGCTGATTTGGGGGCGGGCGCGGGCGGAAAGCGAAACAAACTAATCACGTCTTGAATGTACAAAAAAAAAAAACCCTTTTTGACCAATCGTTGTGACAAATGCTGACAAGCACCTATCATTTCTGACAGCGGGCGGGCTCTCTGCCAGCCGGCACGGCCACCTGCGCTGCACAGCCTGCGCTGTAGAGCACGCCTTAAAAAAAAACAAAAAACAAGACAGGCAGGCCAGAGCAGACCACTTGCGGGCCAGGCCACCGGGGAACTCCCCGGTTCTCCCGTGGGCCAGTCCGGGCCTGCACCTTGCCAAAAATCCCACTATGAAGGTGACTGCCCGACTTGCTGGAGAAATTGTGGAAATACAAATGCAAATCATTATCATGTTTTTTGGGACTGTCAGATTATTAAAACGTACTGGAAGGGAATAAATATTGCAATACAGGAAATTTTTGGAAGTCACCTGCCTATGGACAGTAAAATTTTATTTTTTGGACTCATGCCTGGAGAATGGTCATATTAGTAATAGTATTTTGTTGGTGGCAGGCAAAAAAGGCCCTCATGAAAAAATGGCTTTCACAGGAGAGCCCAACTCTGATCATGTGGATGGACATCACAATGGACATATGCAAGAGGGATCTGTTTAATACACATTGGAAGAAATGGATGGACTATATAATACCGCACAGGCTGGATTTTGATTTTGCTTGCTTTGGATGGTGGCAACAATGTGTTAATGTTCTTGTTATGTTTTTCTTTATTTGTGTTTTTTTGTTTTTGTTTTTCTTTCCTTTTATCTCAGAAAAAAAAAAGACACTCAGGTTGAGACTATGTGACTAATAATTGAGGTAATGTACATAATAAATGTGTTACTGAATGTCAATAAAAAGTAAATTCAAAAAAAAGAAAAAGAAAATGCCAGCTCCAGCGCTTGTGTTGTGGCGTGTGCTATGTTTATTCTTCTCCGTCTGATGAATCAACGAAGAAGAAATGCTGAAAACAGGAGGCGCCTACAACGTCTTCTAGTTCTGATCGATTTTGTTCAGGTAAGTCAAGTTGTTTAAATATTTTGACGCTGTGTTCAACCGAGTTGCTGATGTCCGACAATCTGTTGTTTGTATAGCCTACATTCCGATCATACAGTAACAAATTGCTGACTTCGCAAGGTTTTTTTCATCTTCCACTATGTTGAAAGTGTGGGTCGGGGCTCCCTTGGAATCTAGGGCGGGTTTTAAGTGTTGGAAACCACTTCCACTACCTCAGTTCTGTTTTGGGACACCACTAGCCTAGACGTGAACGCGCACAACCAAGTGCAAGTGAGTATTTCTAGGGGAAGTGTGGGTATTGGGACAAGACACTACAGTAAACGTGGAAGTCCACTGACCAAGGAGCGATATTTGAAGAGTTAAGATGAGAACATGTTGATGCAGAAGTTGGGTATGGTTACAGGTGCAAATCACACAGACTGTAAACTGCTATAAAACCCTGCTTCCAGCCTGTTGTTAAAACTCCTCAGCACAACTCGAAACATCATCAGTGTGACCTCTGCTGGCTACTTTGCAACAAGATAAAGTATATCCAATCTCTACAAGCGTTGTCATCACTTCTGTTGCTCGGTTCATTTGTGGTAGAAGATGACCCCCTTCCTCTGCAGCAGAAGCAAAAGTACATCCAGGCTGTACAGCAGGAGCTGCCATGTTTGCTTGCTCTGCATAATGAGATCTGATCACAATATGGACAGAATGCAGGCATGCATATAAATCATGGATGTAATTGTCAAGGCGTGAGTGGATTGTTCATTAGCCACGTTGGAAATCCAGATATATTGCACTGTGTGATGAAATTTGGGTCTTAAAAGAACAATTTAACCCCAATGAAAAATAAATATTTTTCCTCTTACCTGTAGTGCTGTTTATCAGTCTGCTTTGTTTCCTCTGCCCACACTGTGGTTACACATAACTGGTTGAAAATCAGTTTCCCTTTAAGAGCCAAAAATCTGACAGCAGGTACTCGGTGGGTGTTGTTTTTTTTTTTTTGTTTTTTTTTTTTGATTGACATTTTGGGCAGAAGTAACAAAAACTGCTTGCTGTGATAAATGTCAGTTGACTGCTGGGTGTAATGAATAGTAGACAAATAATCAGATCACCTGATAATAAATCCCTCTTTTTAAATTTCACATCCATTTTAACCGTCCCAATTTTTATTTCAAACACACTTTCATCATCTCCATTTTTATCATTTAATGTTTTTACTTCCATCCCCATAACCAGGCACCACTGAACTAACTAAGCTCAAGTTTATTATGTTACGTTTTTTTTATTTCATTCATTCATGTTGTTTCCTGTTTTACTTGAAACTCACATCTCCTCTCATTTCAGATCACTTCACTTCCTGCCCCTTGTGTGTTTTCCCTCCCTTTTGATGACTCCACCTGTGTCTGATTGTCTGTCCCGCCCTGATCAACCTCACCTGTGTCTCGTTATCCTTCCCCTCACCAGAGTATTTAGTGTGTGTCTTGTTTTCTCTCAGTTCATCTTTGTTCCTTGTGTGTCTAGTCCTCCAGCCAATCGTTTCCCAGTGTCGTTTTTTTGGATTAAGCCTGTTGATTGACTCTGCCTCTGCCTCATCTCTATTGGATTTGTTTGCCTCCACTGATAGACCCTCTGTGTACTGAACCTACCTTTAGACCAGTAAAGACTGTGTTATTATACCTGAACTGTCTCCAGCATTGTGTGCTTGAGTCCACTCTCACCTCGTTCACCAGCTGTTGAAGTTACAGCTCAGCTGAGGAGGACGCCATTAATGTTTATATCTCGCACTGTAACAAGCACGAGACTCTAGTCCATGAGTAGATGCAAACTTCTTTCTGGGCAGTGATACAGTCTGTGGATTATCTTGAGTAACCGGGTCCTGATTTCTGGAAAGAGACATTGCTGTTGAGGTTTTCAAATGCATATTTTTTTCTTTCAATTCAGTTCAATGCCTGTATTGTCACTGCACAGCAGTACAACACAATTTTGTGATCTCTGAGCTAATACACATAAAAACAGAAAAAACAAACAAACAAACAAAACAATAAACAGTAACCAGTAACAGTGAGACACATAAAATACACTATGGGTAATTGAATTGAATTGAATTGAATTGAATTGAATTGAATTATACCTAAATGGCACTTGGCAACCCTGTGCTTTTGTCCTACAGCGAACCACGTGCTCTAGTTGTTGAAGAGTTGTAATATTAAGTTTTATAATTATACAAAATTTGTTTCAGTTGTTACTACCTTACATGTCTAGGCCTCCACAGTCATTATGAGGAACATCTGATACTCAGTCTCTGTACCCCTGTGTTCACCTTTGAAGGCACGCCACCTATAAAGGGGTGTCTCCCATCTTGCCTCTCCCCCTTTTATTGTTGTACTCCATGGGAGAGGTAAGAGACATTGCTCTCGTGGTAATATCCGTGTTTCAGTGCTGTGAAACTGTTTTTAAGTTCATTTTCAGCCTAAACTTATTGTATAACATGCTAAAATTCATGTGTCACTTAATTTGTGTAGGGGCTCGAGTTATATGGTCGTAATTGACAGAGGATTTTGTTTTTACTTCTTGCTGTCAGAGTTGTCAGGAATAAATAGAGATTGCCTCCAAAGATATCCACGGTCTGGGCCTCTTCATATCATCACAACGCAGCGTACGCTAGAGTTCATCGGTTACAGTTAAATATAACGAAATTCCCAAATTTACTACAGAGAATCTGTTTTTGAAAATAAGATTATGCAATGGCCTTAAATATGACTCAAAGATGTGATCACAGCTAAAGATAATTTAACTTCTCCTCTGGTGAAAACCACCTGAAAAATACATTTTCTCTTTTCTTCATTACATCTCATTTTGTTTCATGATTCTCAATCATGATTTTGGATCCATATTTAGTGTCATATAACCTGCAGTATATGTTGATTTTAGAGACTTGCTGCATTTACACATTATGGTTCATGTAGCCAAATGTCCTAATATATTAGGACCTCTCTCTGAGTTTGTTTGGACGGCATCCTGAGTGCATTTACTTGTGGATTTTATGAGTTTATACACTATATATGCTCCAGCCAAACACACCCCACTTACTCGAGACGCATGATTATGCCAAAAGTTAAAGGGACCTATGATGTTGCATTATATTAACCTGAAAATGTCTTTTATTATTTATGTCTCCTGCAGTCGTATACTGTACCTATATTTAAATCCGTGACTACTTTTGTTCGTTCCTCCATTTATAGACGGCACTTGTCCAGTTGCGGTGCGAGTCTTACCAGTTCCACAAATGATTTTGAAGATCTAATTTCAGTGTAAATCATGTTCAAGAAGATAAAACAGCACTGAGATGTTGGTATCAAAGTTTGTCAAAGTTTTCCTGAAGCTCTGAGTTTTTCTTCATGCCAACGATCTGCTTCCTCGTCCTGCTTTAAATCTGGACCGTGTCTCTTCATGTCAAAAGAAGGGTTTTCATGTTTTTCATCCTGCTGAGTCAGATTTCATTCCACATCCTTTGGGAAACAATGCTTAGCTAAGAAGCACTTCAAAAGGCTACAACGCTCAGTTGTAGTATCTACAGGAAAAGTTTTGATCAGCAGTGATCCACTTCTTGTTCTGTGTCCTGCGGGAAAAATGTTTGGCTACAGCTGTAGGTGCTGAGATGATCAGGAAACACTTTCAAATGTTTCTGCAATCATAAGGATGTCCAGAAGTCATTAACTATGCAAGAATAATCATCCTAATTACTAAGCGATGCGCAAAGTGTCTGTCTCTTCCCTTTATAGTACTTGCTTCCTAATTAGAATAAATTTCATTATTTATTATTTTTCCATATATTCTGGACTGACGCTTTTGGCAGGATGCAGTGACTTGAGTCTAGTTAACACTGGACACCAGTAAAAGTCAAGGTAGCCTGAAAGCAGCACGGTGCGTGTCGTACTTGGAGGGTTGTTTTGGTTTCTAGTGTCTGATATAAGAGCGATGTATGGACTCTGACCTCAGTAGACACAAAAGCTTTCACTCAAAGTGCCATGACTGCTGCATTATGAATGCACCAGCAGGGTATTCCATCAGGACTGACTCAGCAAAGACTTCCACACGTTCTCAAAGCATCACTCTGCGCATAAATGTCTAGAGCTGAGCATAGTGGTGAGTGAGGTCTGCTGAAAGCATTCAAGAGCACTAAAATATGTCAGCAGCCAGACGCAGAAAACACAAAGCTGAAAATACATTTAGAGAATCATCTGAACTCAGTGTCAACTGTTAGTTTGTGAGTCTCCATATTCAGCTCTATCTCATAGAAATTACATTAATATACAACATATTTGAAACAGCAAATACTTGAGGGCAATGTAATGCCAAGGGAATTATGTTTTTTAATCAACAAAATGAGGAAGTGCTGCCAGTAATCATATGTGGCAAGTTGCAAAAATGTTGATACTGGACATACCAGAAGAATTTCAGTTGTCTCCAACCAAAATGGGCAAATTTGCAGAACCGTATCCAGTCGAAGCAACTACAACATTTTTTATTACCTTTTTTATTCTCATGTAACCAAAATGACAAACTTTCCCCAACCTTAACGTAAGTGTTTTTGTCTTAACCAAAGACTGTAAAAAATAATGGATGTAGCCACCGTGACATCACCCACTGGTTTGTGGACTCCCATTTTGAAGCCTTGAGTTGGGCATTTTGGCCGTTGCCATCTTTGTTTGTGGACCCAGAAGTGACCATATTTGGATGACAGGGTGGTGCTGTGCACAAGCGAGGGGTGGATCTCCTGCCTTTGGCTGGTCCCCTGTTGGATAAAATCAAACCTGTTGTATGAAATCATGGAGTCTGGTTTGGCAGAAGTTTTCATCATCTTAGAAATATTTCATAAATACGAGCCATTTCAACTTTTAAAGACACTGAGATAATTTTACACACCTTCATCTCTTCACGCCTGGATTACTGCATCAGCCTCCTTTCTTGCAGGAATCAAAAATCTATTACTTGACTCCAGACTGAACAGAATTCAGCTGCCAGGCAGACGAGATCACATCACTCCATTTCAGCCTCTGTACACTGGCTCCCAGTATGTTTTAGAACAGATTGTAAGATTTTACCGATTACTTTTAAGGCTCTTCATGGTCTCTCACTCTCAGCTATATCTCCAACCTCTTAGTGCCATACATGCTGGGATATACTTTGAGTTCCTCGGGCAGCAGAGGTCTTTTGTCTGTTCCAGAGGCTGAAAACAGAGGGGACAGAGTGCTAGCTGTCAGGACCCCGAGGCTCTGGAACAATCTGCCCGAGGAAATCAGGTCGGCCGAGTCAGCCATCTCTTTTAAGTCCTTTCTTAAAACTTGAGTTTTGAGTTCATTTAACTGTCTTTTATTTCCTCAGTTTTTATACACTAAAGTGTATATCAGTTCTTTTAAAAGTTGTTGTTTTCATGTCGTTTCTGTCTTAACTATTGGCATCGTAGCGTCAATAGCGTAGCGTAGCATAGCATTTTATAAATAAAAATTATTATTATAGAATATTTATTGTACCATGCTGTAAACATGTTTATTTCAGCTGTAGTGTTGGACATTTTAACATGGGGGTCTGTAGGGAATGACTGGCCTCTGGAGCCAGCCTCAAGTGGCCATTCAGGGAACTGCAGGTGTTGGCGCTGCCAGGTTGGTTTCATTTTTCAGCCGTAGAGGTTTCCCCTTGGTCTGGACACAAACCAGAAGTCCTGGTGTTACAGTCCTGCCTTTTGTAAGCCTGCCATCCTCCCCATCCACCTCTTTCCAAAGCCTACGCACCACATTCATGTATGTGTTTCGTTAATCTAAATAAACATTGTTCCTGAACATAATCAAGGCAGCGAATAAGCTGCCACAACAACATAACTAAGAGAGCAGTTTATTAACATACAAATGTAATTTCTAGGAGACAGAATTGTCAAATTACTGTGCATGTGTCCCAGTATTAATGTAAAGTTTTTTTTCTTATATGAAAACCAATACATCTTTGTCTACATGATTTTGTGACTGGCTGAAGATTTGTATTCAGCCACTATGGATTGTAGAGTTAGACTGAGATGCCTCTGAAGGCTCTTTGTAGAATATATATTCAAGCATTTAATGTGCCAGTTAAAAGAAGTAATCTCTCAATTATTCTTATTCATCATTCATCATTTAAAGGGTATTTTTCACCATCCAGACAGAAAATGAAGATTTGTTTAGAAATTACATGTTGCAGCTGCCAGTGAAGAGAAATAATGAAAGCTCATCAGTTGCAAAACACAGCAGAGTGGTTTTGCATTTAAAGATGTTAAAAAGTTATCAGCAGTAATGTTATCCTCCGTCTTGTCAATGGTGGAGTGAACTGTGGGTCAGCCAGTTCATTGTGTCATGTTGTGGCAGAACTTGAGCCAGAATCAACTTTTTTTTTGGAAAAAACTTGCATTTTGTGGGGAGAGCACATCAACAGAGCAAAGTCAGGACCCTCATTGTGTCAACGCAGCGTCACTGAGATGAATGAGGATGCTGCTTTTTTTGACAAAGTGCTCAGGCTGGTCTGAAATGGTGAAAAATGGCCGTCGCAGCTCCACAGAGAAAAAGATAACGGCTCAGAACTTCTTGTGTCGTCAGACAAGACGTCCAAAACATAAAGGTATTCAGTTTCCCAAAAAGGAGGGCCAACCCTCTCATTTTTAGTAATATGATTGATCAATCAAAATTGGTATTGAATCATCTTTTGTCTGTGGACCAGTCTGTTAATTGACTGATCATTTCAACATTAATTTCATCAATATATTCCTTTAACAACTTCCAGTGCTGAAAAATTGCTTTCCAGAAGTCCTACCATTTACATCACCGACTTAAAGGGACAGTTCACCCCAAAATAAAAAAAAACAACATATTTTTCCTCTTACTTGTAGTGCTGTTTATCAATCAAGATCGTTTTGGCATTTTGGAGTTAGTTTGAGCAGTGTCTGTGTTTAGAAATCATGGCCAAGATACTCAAGATGATCCACAGACCTTGTTGTGAGCAGTTTCATGTAGGAACTATTTTCTGTCAGCTGAACAACACCCACCACATATCATCACGCAAGAGAAAGTGTGCATCTATCGCTGATGTTAGTGATAGAAGGAGAAGGAGAAGAAGTACAGACTCTGTTGTCATATAAACACAGGCCAGAAATACACACACATGTACAAACAGGAGCTATATAGGCATTAAATGGAGATGTCAGAGCGAGTGGGCTACCATGGACAGGCAGGGTACAGTTCCTTGCTCAAGGCCACCTTGGCAGTGCTTGGTCTGTGCA